TTAACGAGTTAGGATTAATTTCGAGACATTTCTGGTCTCATACAAGTTCAGAAGATAACACGTTTGCACGCATTCCAGACCATTTAACCTGTGCGCATGCGTTAAATTATTATTTGTTTTAACGCGTTATTTATTGTTGTTAACCTGCGTTAGGGTATCAAAAATATTTCATGGGTACATTTTATTATTTTTTCAATACAGATCAAATAGAATCAAAATTAATTAGAATAAATGATGTCAATATTAATGAAACAATAGAATCAAATTTAAAATTTCTTAAAAATTTATATCGTCAAGCATTTTGTCGATTATTATATCGTGAACAAGAAAGACGCGTAAACAAGATCGTTTAAACCATTTTGAAACGAACGAAGTTAATGAAAATAATTTAGTATATGTAATATTACAAAATGAAACTCGAGAAAAAGAGTTCACTGAATTATTAGATAAAAAACAAAGAGAATTTGTTAAAATTCAATTACAACAAAATAAATTAATAGATGAAACAATAGAATGTGAAAACATATAAAAAGCAATTAGATGCATTAGAAAAAGAGAAAACATCTATTTTAAAAAATATAGAATTAAATAAGTAAAAATGAATTAAATCAAAAAGAAATTCATAGTTGAAATGCGCTATACAAATAAAAATATTAAAAAAAATGAAAATGAATTTAAATTAGGACAAAATAAGAAAATTTATTTGATAAGCGAAAAAAATATACTTTTAATTGATAAAAAATTTAAAGAAGGAAAATTAGAAAATATCGAAAATCAACTTAAACAAATGAAGCATGGAAAAAATTCGTAGAAAATTTATTTGAGGCTTGTCATAATGATATAGTTTTTGGTCAGAGGCAAGAAATGATAGAAAAAAATTAAAGCTACAAAAAATCTGTACGAATTATATAATACATTAATAGAAATAGATATTTTAAAAAATTATTTATTTAAAAAATTAATCAACAAGATTTGGAAAATTATGTTAAAAGTCCATCAAATATATTTAATGATGAGAAATATGATTCATATGATAGAACTGAAAATATTCTAAAATGTATTTTAGTTCAACAAAAAGGTGAACTGATTACTTAGTTTAGACGTGGTATAGATAATAAAACAATAGAAAGAAGAAAATATAAGATTGATACTGTTAGTAATGTTTCTCACAAAGAAATACACGAAAATTTAAAAAAATTAATTTAAAAAGTGATAAAATTAAATGTAACTGGATTATATTTTGATAAAAATACTCAATGTTTAAAAGTAGTTGATGATGGAATTAATTCATTTAATGATTTACCAAATGAAATTGAAGGATTAGTTTACAATCGAATAAAAATTATTTATCAACAACATCAATGGGATAAAATGAAATATAAAAAATACAAAGAAGCAACTATTCAATTAAATATATTAAATATAGATTATAAGGAAATTGTTAATTGCTATGTTGATGAAATACAGATTGTAACTGAAGACAACTGTCTTCTTGATACTGATCTCTATTATCCGCGAATCGATTTAACAATAAGAGCTATGCCTATGAAAATTGGTTATCAAGGTAATAACGTTAGTTTAGTGATTAAAGGTCGTCATGCACATAACTTTTATTATGAAAAAGCATCAAATGGTGATAAAAGGTGTAAATATGTTGAGGTGCCAGATGGTGCTAATGGGTATGATGGGGGAATTTGGTCGAAATGGACAACATGGTGGTAATATTTTAATTAAAGTAGATGAAGTAATAGAAAATTTAGATTCATTAGAATAAATTAACGTTTTTGGTGGCAATGGTACTATGGGCCAACTAGGTGGTAACGATAATAAATGTTTTAAAGGTGAAGATGGAAAAGAGATAAAGTCGCGTTTCGCCAGTAGACACTCGCCAATAGTGATACCCCTTTCGCCAATACCCCTAAACTTTATGATGAACTTTATTTCTGTTCAGAATCTACACAAGATCTAAATAAGGATTGTAAAGACAATGCAACAAAATTCTTTACAGAATCTGTTAAAATTAAAATACAACGGATTGTTCATGATTGATTTTAAGCGGTGATCATGTAAATGCTGATCTGCAGAAAGGTTAATTCTTTACTATCAAAACAGTAAACACGAAAATAAATTACGAATTATAAATCTCGTGCTTGAGATGTAAAAATGTTTTCTTACCAAACTGCCTGAAATAACATCGTAAAATCTCTCAAGCAACTGCGCAGTAGTTGATTTGTCGCAGCCACTTAAACCTAAAGAGAAAAGAAAGACTATCTCCTTCTTAAATCGAATTTAGTTGTAATTTCCTAAAAACAAGGCATTTCTTCAACTAACAAGTGCAGTGCATGAGAAACGTCTTGTGAATAGATTTTCTTTAAGAAAAAGTATGCCGATTGTGATCAGGAATAATCTGAGAAAATATCGGTAACGCTCTTCATAACATTGGATATAGCGTAATTGCCGTTGCTGCTATAGATCGACGATGTCAAGTTGATTAGGTTTCCACCTTGAACATTAGACATTTACCACAATCAAAACATTCTTTCTTAATGTACCACTACAAATTAGGATTAAAAATCTGATTGCAAATCCTAGAGTCACTTCTATTACCTTCACACAAAAAGGTCTTAAGTTGAAATTTAAAAAATTGGATAACTCCATGGAGAATTGACCAGGCTACAAATTGAACAAAAATCACTTCAAATTTCTTCTTCGAATTTCAGGTTGAAAAATTACTGCGATTTTCACCATAATCAACCTGAAAATTCGACAAAAACCAAAGTGGTCGGGTAGGATAAAAGGGTACATCATTCGACTCGGTTTTGGACGCTGACTCCGAATATGATACTTTCGTTGCATAAAAGTTGAGTTCTGGTGGAAAAAATTGAGAATTACGGGCACAATTACGGGTGTTGTTGCACTTCGCTATAATGCAGAAGACGTTTCTCAGCAGAGAAGCAAAAGTTTTTCAAACGCATGCATACTTTTGTGTGCCTTCAAATAGCGGTTCGAATGGTGTGTGATACTTGGGTAAATCTTTTGAAACAAAAGGCTACATAGGTTTGGGGTAACCCAGGGTGGAATTGTGTCTCAAAGAAGTTACATAATTTCTGCACGTCGATAAAAACAGTTAAACAATCTCTGTCACGCCTAGATATACTCACTTTCGGATGCTGAACACGAAATAAAATAGTTACAGAAAATGTAAGTCAAAGGAAGGGGTCAAATCGTCAGTTTTCATACATGGTGTAAAAACATCACTTTTTTGGGTATTGTTCGTATTTTGGATATCTCAGTCAAAACTTGATCAAAATGAGATTCCAAGTAGATATTTACAATCGGCACTTCGAGCTCTATATAACCATGTAGGTTTCAAGGAAATCTATTTCTCTGCTCGACTTTCGAATATCCGGCACCTTACAAAAAAAGAAGAAATAGAGAATTATCAAATAAGGAGATATCTCTTTTCGTATTTGCATATCTGCCTGTTCGCTTCCTTTTCTGTCGACGCATTGAAATGAAAAAATGCCCGCACGTGGGATATTTTATGTCTAAAGAGATATCCTCTTATTTGCTAGTTCTCTAATGTGCAATGCACATTTATTTTCTTTTTTTGCATTTTACTCTCTTTTCTTTTTACAAAGGTAAAAATTTACTGTGTTTGTGTGATCTACTGTGTTTGTGTGAAAATGGCTTTATTGCCATGAATTTTAATTAGGTGTTTAGGGTAGAGCTAAACTTTGCTACCATTTAGAAGAAAAACCTTTAAGCTACAAAATAAGGCGTTCCCTAGCTCTGTACGTTGCTCTGCTGAAGGGCTATGACATTCACAAAACGTTACGGATTTATGTACAAGTGGATTTTTACCTGGATAAGCCGTAATACAAAAAATTAAATTTTCACGCTAAGGCATTAATTTTCATGGCAATTTTTTTCATTTTAATATTGATTCAGCTGAGACACATGATGTTTGAAGAGGTTTTTAGTTCAGTTTATAGCTTGCTCAATTCTCTATGGATAAATAAAATAATAAATTAAATTAAATAAAATAATCTAAACGATATAAGAATGTTTGCGTTTTAATAAACGCACTGTCAATGCACCTTCTGTCTGCATATAGAAATAGATATAAAGCAAGAAGCGAAGAAAAGAACAAATTTTATGTTTT